TCCCCACGCAGGAGTTCCGAACAACGTCTGGTTCACATTTGGCTGGATAACTCCACCACCACACGGGGTATGCGGTCGGCGATGGGGTCAAAATGCTCGTATGATCGAGGGCTTTTCGATGGATCTATCGGCGGGTTCTTATTCAAAAAATCGAGCGAGTTCGTGGTGGAGCGGTTGATTGGATTCTTAATATTAAATTGGTGAATAATTGTTTTCTAATAAGAAGATGATGTGTGAATAATTGTTTTCTAATAAGAAGACAATGAACATTTTTATAGTGTAAGAGGCCTACACTGAATAGATTGATATTATATTAATAGATCTTATATAACAAAGATAAAAATGTTAAAGAAGGAAAGAAAGAGAAAGTGTAAGAATCAGCAATTGAGATGGATATTTATACATGTATGTGGTGGCGTACGCGGTGGAGCTTCGGAGCGGAAGAATATACGCGCGTTCGTAGCAGCCGAGGATCGGCGATCGAGAATGGCCGAGGATCGGAGCGTACGTGAAATCTGTGAAGTGTAACGGAATAGTCTATATGATTGATCGGGCGCAGCCCGCCACATAAAAAAGTATAATATTTATATTTCTATTTTTAAAAATATGAATATCTTTCATCTGAATCACAAAGTTAAATAATAGATATTAGAGAATAGACTAATAAAAATCTATTATTCTGAAGAAATTTATCAGAGCATATATATCTATAATATTAAATTTAACAGTTGTAAAAAGTTTTTTAATATCTGTAAATATAATAACTTTATACATGATAAAACTTATAATGATTTCTCTTAAGAAACAGAAAAATTAGTGTCAGAAAGAGAGAATGAAAAAGAGAAGACTTATATTTTTCATACTATTGAAAAAGAAAATAAGTTTAAAAGATGAATATATGATTATTTTATCATGAATATGTAAAATAAATATAATAATCAGTGTTTATAACTGAACTTGAAATAGTTATGTTATATATAGTCATTGTACAATAAATTATTTTAGAAATTAGTAAAAAGAGTGAAAGTACATACTCTGAGAAATAAGACTCACTGAGCTTACACAGTATTTCTTTAAAATGAGAAGAGTCAGAAGTAGTAATTTAGATAATAGAAGTAGTAGAGATAATAGAAGTAGAAGTAGTAGTAGCAGAGATAGCAGAGACAGAGAGAGTAGAAGTAGTAAAAGTAAGAGAATCAGATACAGAAGTAGAAACAGGTATAGAAAATTAAAAGAGAGAGATAAAAAAAGAAACACTAATAGAAGAGAAAGTAGATATAGAAGACTCAGTTACAGATAATATTAATACTTTTTTTTCATTATTATATTACTCAAGTTCTTGATTAATAATTTAATATTAAGATGCTTTTTATTATCAGTGAATATAAATCTAATAATATATTTTACATGAATAAAAATAAATAATATCAGTATCTGCATTCATGCAAAAATTGTGTTAAAAAACATATTTAAATACTCACTGAGAAAAAGAGTTAAAAGTGTATAACAAAGTAAAAGAAATATGTTATTTATAATAATATATTCTGATAATCTTTAGAAAAATCAATTCTGATTATATTTCACAAAGTGTTTTATTTACTGTTAATGAACTGTCTGATATGAGCACTATAATAATACTTGTTTTGAAAATTAAAGACTATTATCAGAAATGTGTATAATGTAATAAATAAAAAATGAAAAAGTATTTAATAGAGAGAGAGTAAAAATCTTATATGAGATAATAATATTTAATAATAATAATAACAGAGATAATAGTTGAAAAATAGAAAAAGTTAATAAATAAGTGATGTAATATAGTGAAAGCTTCTTTGTAAAAGTGTAAATAAAATGCTAATTAAATCAGAAATAAGCTGTATAATTGTAAATAATAGCAGTACTTTAATCAGCATGAAGTTAAAGCTTATATCATAATTACATAAATATAACTAAATTTAATAAGAGAGAATATAATTCAGAAAAATGTACAGCTACTTCTGAATATACTTATAAATATAAGAAGCTCTAGTAGTCACTAATTAATTTATATATAAAAAGCCGGTATATGCTTATAATTTTACGCTAACTTAAGTAATCTTTGAATTATATATAAATAATATTGATTTAATCTACAGTTCAAAAACAATTAAAAATAATTAAAAAAGAATTGAAAAAATAGTAAAAGAAATCTTTTTTAAAACAGATATTAATTAAATTTAATTTAATATGAATAAAACTGAGTTAATTAAGTTTTTTTTCAAATTCAATAAGAAAAAACTAAGCTTAACTCTTTTAAATTCAGTTTGAATATTAAGTAATTGAAAGTATAATTAAATTTCAAGTTAAATTTTAAATATTATATTTAATAAAGAATTATTAAAACAGAAAGATTACTGAATAATATAATTAAATTATTAAATATAGAAAGAAATCTATTCTTTTCAATTATAAAATAATTATATATAATTTGTATCATTTTAATAGCTGATTATAAAGTTCAAATTTAATGAAATAATTAAAAAAAAATTTCAGTGATCTCTTTCAAAATCTGTAAAATAAAGTTTTGAAAAGAATTTTAAAAAAATTTAAATTATTTAAATTATTTTTTATTAAAATAATAGAAATTGAAGCTTTAATTTCTTCATTTACTATTAAATTTGAAAAAGTTTTTATAAATTATACTCTGAGAGTTATAAAAATAAGTTTAAATTATATAATCAGAGAAAGAGTTTTTTCTTTTTTTTATTAATTAACTCTGATGTAAGGGGCCTGCGCCGAATAGATTAGTATAATATTATAGGTCTTATATAACAAAGATAAAAACATTAGAGAAGAAAAGAAAGAGAAAGTGTGAGAATCAGTGATTGAGATGAATATTTATACATGTATGTGATGATGTATGTGATGGAGCTTCAGAGCAGAAGAATATACATGTGTTTATAGCAGCTGAGAATCAATGATCAGAAATGGCTGAGAATTGAAGTATACACTATACATGTTCATAGCAGCCGCAGATCAGTGATTGAGAGTGGCTGAGAATTGAAGTGTATACTACATGTGTTTGTAGCAGCCGCGGATCAGCGATCAGAAATGAAAGAATCTATGAAGTGTAATGAAATAGTCTATATAATTGATTGAGTGCAGCTCATCACATTAGTCCCCTCTTTTCAGAAGCAGTTCTCATCAGTCAAGAACTGCTATTTCAGATAATGCAGAACTCAGAGTTCAGATCAGTTGATTGTAGCTGACTTATTTCATCAGATATTGTCAGTCACAGCTGCAGAATCTCTTATCAAGAATATCTTCAATCTCTCACTCAAGCTCATTATCTTCTTCTATAATGCCTGGCAGCTCTCAGTTAGAAGTCAGCTGAGAAGGGAATGAATCAGTGACAGCACAGCAGAGCAAGCTTGTATGAAATATATCATGAATCTCTGATGATGTGTCAAGACAGTAGTTATGACTATCTAGAACTTCTATCACTTTATACCTGATATGATGATAGTCTAGCATATGAGATGAATGTTTGATTTGTATATTCTTGAGATTCAATTATACAAGGTCTTCTATCTTATACTGCTCTGCAGAATCTCATCAGATATTGATTTGATCTTCTTGATCTTGTTTCATAGTTGTCATGAAGACCTCTGCTCAGTCACAGATGTCTCAGAGCTTCATTACTATATTATCAGTGATCTGAATTGAACTGCAGAGGTTCAGTGTGCACTGTGTGATCTCTAGAAGATTCAACACTTTCATATGATACCTGTGTGTAAGGAAGAACAGGCTTACACCTGTTGAAATAATATCTTGATCATTGATAGTGATCTCTGCATGTAGAAGAAGGTCATATCAATCATCTTGTAAGTGATTATAGAACTTATGAAGATAATTCTTTACAGTCTGAATTGTTCATTCTGATGCATCATCAGTCTCAGAGTGATAGACAGTTGACAGATAATATATAATCTTAAGAACTTGACAGATTCTTGTTCAGAGAGTGCTCATGAATTAACAGTCTTAATCTGATACTATTGATCTCAGCAATTCATGCATTCAATAGAATGAACTCTGTAAGAAGGCTTTGATGACTTGTTCAGTGTTCATCTTATTGCAAGATTTCAATATTATGTTGACTCTTACGGCCGTTGCGGTTAGCGATCCCACTAGATCACGTGACCCATCACTATATTATGTTCCTGTAGATAGATCTATCAATACAACCTTCAACTATTCTACAGATTATAGCCCGGATGGCACATTTTTCTTTTTAAAACATTGAATCAACATTTTTGACACGGATAGTTCACCTTTTTTGAAAAGACTCTTACTCTTTATTAGAGATATTTCATTTTTCCTGAATCTGTCAGTCAGTGAATTCATATACTTTATTTTTTTTGAGAAAGTGTGTTCTTCATTGTGAAGAATATCACTTTTTATCTTTTTTTTTTACACATCTAGAAGAAGCAGAGTCACCTCAATATGAGTGATACACCTGTTACTTCAGAGTTCAGCTCAAGGCTCAGGATCGCACACTTCACTAGACAACTCATTGATAGAATGACCACTTATTATGAGGAAGCTCCTGACTTGCAAGATGAGGCTGAGATCAGTTTTTACCAGAGTATGGAATTTGATGATGAGATAACAGAGAAACTTCAGGACAAAGAAAAGCAGAGTCAACCTTAACATTCATCTGCAGAATCTGTTCATTTCAACTCATTGAATTCTTCACTGTTCCTCACCCTTAGAATGCTAACTTTTAATGATGATCTGAATCAACCTATCTATTACACCGCAGGCAATCTTATGAATCTTATGCAGATGATGCTACAGAATCAGATAGCTGCGGCTGAAACCACTCAACATCTCACTACATCTGTATAAAGAGACATTACAAGGAATGAGTTGCAGGAATACCAGAAGAAAGTCAAATATGCACTAGACACCAAATCAGTGATCACATTTAATGACTCTAATTATGAAGCCTGGCATGTTGATATGTTGGCTGATGTGAAAGTTATTAATGAAACTGACATTCTATTGAAGACTCAACAAGAATCCTCTTTTACATGTCATATTGACTCTGAGAAGTGAAGAATCCATTTCAAGTCTCTATATAGGTGTATGCTATTGAGTCTTGTTGAAAATGTTTAAACTACTATTGAAACCTTGAAAGCTGACAATGCTGCAGCTCTGTGAGACAAGATCAATGTGAAATATGCAATATCACTGACAGAGGAATGAGTTAATATCTTCAAGAAATTGATAAAATTACAAGTTAAGGAGAATGATTATCTTACTTTTCAGAGATATTTTCACTATCTTATTGCTCATCACAAGAAGCTCTGTTAGAACACTGAGAATATATATCATGATCTCTTTCTCAACAATCTACAAGATTATCAAAGACTGTTTGTCAAGACATGTTTGAATGAGTTTTTCTCCACTGATCAGGAACTCATTATCAACATTGATATTGATGATTTGATGAAGTAACTGATCAATCATACATTCAAGAAGATCATCACTGAGTGGAAAAAGCAGCCTCAGGCTGATTCTGTGACTGTGAAAAAGGACAAGAACAAAGATAAGAACAAAGATGAGAACAAAAGCACACCTGTATAAAAGTGCATTCACTGCAGAAGATATGAACATACTGTTAACAGATGTTTTATCTTACACCCTGATAAAAAGAAAAGACGATGACAAGAAGATGACAGAGAAAGAGAGAGGATGATTTGATGAGTTCTCATCAGCAGTAATACAGCATTATGAGATGAGTTCTATTTCTCTTCATAGTCACTGGAAAATCATCCTCTAGATCTTGA